TAGCAGTGAAATGGCGTGTTTGGGGTTTATAAGGGTTTGCAAAACGACGCACTTTTTCAAGTTATAGAAGGAAACAATGATTGAAATTCTTGGGAATTTCGAACGTTGCTGGAAACACAAAGTGAATATGACAAAATTCAATAATTATTATTAATTCTGCCATATTGCGGGGTAATTGTTGACACATAAAAATTCAGCCCAAATCGAACAGCCCAAGGAGTAAAGCCCAATTGGAGGATCCCCAAATCAGATAGCCCAAAGAACGAAGTCCAATTGAACAAATCAAGGTGAAGGCCCAAATAAGGGGGCCCAAGAATGCGGTAACGCCATCGCCCAAGTGTGCAAGTCACCCAGAATATGAACGAATAGAGTGTCATACGGTCGCCCAGAGTTGTTACTCTATTCTCGCCCAAACCTTCAAGTCGCCCAAGGTATCAACAAACATAACACGTCGTGGTTATCAAGAAATGCAGTTATCAAAGTAGTTGTTAAAGCAGCCCTATCACGTTCCACGATTTAAGGAATTCAATCGAAAGCGGTTGAACGATGAAAGGTAATGGCAGCAGTTAAAAGGCAGTTTTCATGACAAAATGGCCACTACGAAAAAAGTGGGTAGTTAGAGGACGATCAAGCAGTTTTTAGAGTAGTTAATCACAAAGAGATCGTCTATGAAGTATAAAAGGGAGAAAGGACATAGAAGCAAAGGACCGAATTCAAAACTCTCAAACAGAGAATATGTAATTTTCATTTCCTTAGTTTTTAGACTTAAACACTTTTCTTTCAGTAACTCGTGTGCTTGCGCCCCTTGGAGGCACGTTGTTTTTCATTTCCAATTATAAAGTCATCGCCAATAAAAGAACACTCCTTTTTGGGACTTTGTCTCAAGAGGTTTGTCCCTTACACAATCGTCTGATCCCTTTTAATTGTTAGCGACTAACCCGCGCGAAACACAATGTTTTATATATGTTTGTACATTTTTTTTTGCTCTATTTATTTTATTTTTTTGATTGATACATGTTAAATGTTATGTTTACCTCGATGCTTTATTAACCGTTGATCTTGATTTTTTATCATTTTAAACATTCAAATCTTCACATCCATCTCTGTTTTCATCTATTTATCCTTCATTTGGAGCCGATGAGGGCGTTCAAGTCTAGGCTTGGAATTTGAGAAAAAGTTCTCGAGTGAGTTTTTCAAAGAGGGATAAAGAACGGTGAATTTGTTGAGAAATTCAAGTCAAGTATGGTATGCATTTTCTGCTTCTTTTGATTGCATGTCTATGTTTGATCTATGATTAGTTTGACAGAACTATTTCACATGGTGAAGACAAATTTTTTTACTCGAAATGTTAGTTTTCATAGTTCGATTATCTAATTCAGTCCTTGTTAAACTATGAAAAGAATGGGACAGCGACATCTGAACATGTTGGGGTCTTTTACTTTTTCCTTGATTTGCTGGAGAGCAAGTTGGAAAACATGGATTTCTAAGTTTTGTAATTGGACTCCTAAAAACTTCATGCATCGTACAAGATGTTTCCAGCTGCAAATAATTGGATTAGAAATTCTTACAGAAGTTTCTTCGCAAGGAAATATAGATAATGAACACATCAGAATAGACGATTTAGGATTTACTACTAGTTCACTATGCTCTTCACGTGGACATATCTTGAGGTGCTATCTGGTGGTTTTGTCGTACTACTCAAGAATCCCCAAATAAACATGTAATTATCTATTTGAGTTCTAATTATCAATCAACTAAAACAATGTGGTTGCTTATCTCCAATATCAATTCTTCTCAGTTTCAACAACAAAACAGAGGCCAATTTACAGGGATCCAAATGATTCAAAGATTGGTACATCTTTTTATTAAACTTATTTTCACTTGATATTTTTAGTTTTGCATACTATATCTTGCTACTTTTTGACTTACTGAAGAGATGATAAGGTTTTCTATTTAACTGTTGCATAATGAGCAAATCTAAATGTAGAGCTCAATATGGTAAACCAAAAAATCTTGTTGATAAATGATAAGTACTGCTAAAAGGAAACCAATGGGGAAAACACGTAGGTTAAAAATTGTCAATCATATGCAGTCTTCTATACTATCCATAAAGCCAGAGAAATCCATGTACATATGTTGTGTCTGTTAAAGTGCTATAGCACTTCACGAAATATTTTTTGTACCTGAAGCAGGAAGTTTCCCCTTTTGATGTGCCAGAACTACTGGCGTGTTTAGTTAGGCAGTAGCCCATTTCTGGATCAAATTGGCATTTATAAAGGTATGTGGTTGATTATGGTGATGTTTTGTTCTTGGTGAACTACTGGCATGTTTTAGTTAGGCAGAGTAATGTCTTTGTTCAATAGTAACTGTTTAGTCTTCATCTTCAATATAATTACATTGAGAGCTTTCTTCACTTGATAAATGGACTATATTGCATTGTTTTGCATAGTTCTTGAGAAAATGTCATCTTGCTTTAATCCCCTGGTTCATCTAATATTTTAATTGAATACAGTTTATTTGGTGCACTTGTACCTGCCTATTTGACTGTATTGTTTATACATGCTTGGGAATTAATTGGTTAAGAATTTTCCTTAGTTATTCTCCATCCAAGTGAAATTAGAACTGTTTCATTATACTTCTAAATACTCTTTCTTTATGCGTATTCTTTATCATCAGGAACACGTTCTCTTTGTATTAAAATTTTAACTTCTTTTAAGGCTTCTAAATATCCTCTAATCTTTCCCCTATTTTGCTTTCACTTAGGTTTCGCAGAGCTATCAGTTGATTTATGGGCTATTTTATATCTTGTGGATTGCATTTGTAGGATGAGATGGGGACTTGTGTGTTGAAACTTTAAAATGCATGTTGCTGAATGATTTCATATATGGTCAGAATCTACAAAAGACTCAATATTTTTTACCATATTAACTACCTTCCAATGTATGCAATATACAGAAAGAGTTAAAAGAAGAACATGCTACTTGAAAGGTAGAAGTGAAGATGGAGCAAATGATAACAAGCTCAAGGTAGCTAAGCAACAATTCGATTATACGTTGTGAGAATTAGTAGCATATCTATTTCACGAGGATGTAGATTTATGTTTTTTTTAGATGCATGATAATGGATATAGATCATTTTTGATACTGTTTTTTCAGTTTATATGTAACCATACTTCGTGAATAATTTTTACTTGAGTTTTGGTGTAATATATTGGATTTAAGGTTACATTGATTGACACTACATGTCTTCATTAATTTATTGTCTTTTTGAATTTTTATGTTACTTTGAACATGGTTGCTAAATTAATAAAATATCAATAATAAATAATTTAATTTCTTCCTACAAATTATTTTATTGTTCAGACAAATAATATGCTTTCCCACACAAAAAATTATTTGTTGGGAAAAACAAGATTTAGCCCACAACATAATTTGTAGGGAAATGTGATATAATTTTGTGGGCCAAAAATAACTTTAGCAAACGAATGATTTTGTTTGTCTGGATTCGTAAGGAAAAACTTTCCCCCACAAATTTCAAAATTTTGTAGGCTAAGATCTTTTCCCTCGATGTTTGCCCCATAAATGTGCATACAAATTTATTTTTGTCTGCAAAGAATTTTCCCCACAAATAAGAAACTTTCCCTAAAAATAAATTTTGTAGGGAAAATATAAAATTCTTGTAGTGCTATTTAATAGTTTGCTGCTATCCGAAGTTGAACGTTGTGGTCCTAGAAGTTCACGTATGTCTAGAATGCCATTAGGGATGTCAAAAGGGTCGAGCCGCTTGTCGGCTCGTGAAAATGGGGCTCGTGGATGGTTCGGGCTTGTAAAATCACGAGCACGAGCCGAGCGGGTCTCGTCCGGAGGCGAGCCGCTCATGGGCTCATTTTAACGAGCCATGAGCCCGTGGCTCGTTCAAAAGACGAGCCACAAAAGTTAAGTGACCAAAACCGTTACTTTTTACCATTTGGTCACTGAATTTTTTCAGTGACCGGAACGGTCATTGAAATAGTTTTTTTTAAAATTATTTTCCCCCCTTCTCCTATAAATACCTCTTTCTTCAAAGATTTTTTTTCATGTCAATTGTTACTCCAAGTCTCCAACTCTCTCGACTCTCTTTTATTATATCAATTATCGAGTTTTTACTCTCTTGTGCTAAAAAATATACAACATCAATTCAATTTTTACAGTTTATTAGTTACAATTTCAATTCATCTAATTCTCAATTCTCACAATCTCACTACATTTATATTCTTCTAGTTAAGATTTCATCATAAACAATCAAACAAATGGATCAACGCTCATTTGTTGAAAGTTTGTTCGATACAGGATGTGGGCCACATCATCGCGGATCACCTAGGACGCTGCAAAGTCAATTTCCAAATGAATTTGCCGGTCTAAATGACCTACCGATACTTGAAGACGTTCACATTCACGGCCAGAGAAGCCACAATCCAATTGATTTGGATGATATTAACGTTCCCGAAACGGAATATGAGGATGAAGATGTTGAATTAAACATCCCAGATGCGAAGGGAAAGCGAAAGGCCTAAAAACAAGCAAAATGTTGGGATTACTTTAAGTTGATTTCAACGGGAGAAGTCGTCGATAGCCTTGCAGAATCTAAAGCAATATATAAATACTGCCAACAAAGATTGTCATGGCAAAAAGGAATTGGTACCACCGATCTCAACCGCCACTACAAAGTATGTGCGGCCAGATATGGACTTCTTCCAGCTGGTTAAACACAATTGCAATTTAGCAGTGTAGGGGCCAGTTCTACAACTTCACCCCTATCCACGTGGGTGTACTCGGAGGACAATACTCGAATCGGAATGGTGAAATTTGTTGCCGCCACTGAGTTGCCTTTGGCTATTGCATACAACTAACACTTCGTCTCGTTCGTGAAAGAATATCTACAACCGAGGTACGTTGGGGTAAGTCGAAACACTTTTCGTGGTCGTGCCGATACAATAAATTATTTCAATAACTCAAAACAACAATTAATTATGGATTTGCAACAATATGGGGGGTGCTATATTTTTAACTTCTGATATATGGGAAGGGGTTAATAAAACAGCATATATAGCTGCAATCGCACACTATATAGACCCACTTTGGTGCATACATAAGAAAATTATTACTTTTAAAATTATTGAGTTTTCTCACAATGCTAATAATATATATAATGTTATTATCAGTATTGTTAGAGAATATCATTACGAGATTAAAATTCGATCTTTTATTTTTGATAATGCTAGTGTTAATGAAGTAGTCGTCGATAAATTTTGTAGGACACTTCAACCTAATTTTGGTAGGTATTTGTTTCATATTCGTTGTGTGTGTCATATCTTGAATTTAATTGTACAAGATGATTTAAAACATATAAAGGATGAACTTCAAAGGATTAGAAATGCATTAGTATATATTACGATCTCTCCTAGTAGAAAACAAGCATTTGAAAATTTTTGTGCCGAACTAGGGGTGACGACTGCTAAAACATTTGTTTGCGACGTAGGCCATAGATGTAACTCTACTTACTTGCTATTAAAGTCATGTGAACGTTTCGAAAATTTAATAACTGACTTTATAGCAATAGACATGTTAGAAGTGATGACGATGATATGTTAAATGAATCCGATTGGATTTTAGCTTTGAAAGTTAAACGATTTTTGACATCTTTTTATGAGACCACAAAGATTTTATCCGGCGTTTTTTATCCCACAAGCTGTATGGTGCTTGAACGCCTTTATATAATTGCAAGAACATTCCATAAATATAAAAATGATCCTACTTTTAGTGAAATTATAATTGCTATGAAATTAAAGTTTTGAAAATATTGGGAAGAACTGCCTATATTATTTCCTTTAGTATGCGCAATGAACCCCTGATATAATATTTCGAGAACTAAATACGTAATTGATCAAATCAATAAAACTTTAATACTTGATATACCTATCACCTATAAGAATTTAGAGCAAACATTATGTGGAATGTATGATTTATATGCGGAAAAATGGGTGCGAATGTTAGTCGGGTACCCTCTGCACCTACTTCTTCTGCTGAAATTGAAGAAGATGATGCCGAAATAATGAATGTATTTAAAGGCATTAATATATTTAGATATAGTGCAACTGTAATGTGTTCATCTAGTGCCACGTCATCTACATTTACATCTCATCAAACATCGGTCGAAACTCAAAATGCGATGCTTGCCGAATTAATTGATTACTTCAATCATAATATTCCAACAGACAGAACAATTAAAACAAGTTAAGAAGTAATTGAATTTTGGCGAAAGTATGAAAGACGTTGGCCTATTGTTTCTACAATTACGAAAGATCTGCTAACACATCTGGTTAGCACTGTTGTTTCGAAGTCTGCTTTTAGTGCAGGTAAAAGGGTTTTGAACGATTTCAGGAGCCGACTGAAAGAAGATGTTTTGAAAGCGTTAATGTGCGTGAAGGATTGTCAGGACGCTCATTTTCGATTACAAGATAAATATGCTGAAATTGCATGTCGTCAGATAAGTGATATTTGATTTAATTCTATTAATCAAAATTTCTTTATTTTTTAATCGTTAAATTTAATTTTCTTTAAAAAATTGTACACGTTACAACAAGTTATTTTTGTACAATTTTTAACTCCGCCTACTTAAAATTGATGTAGCCGGTCCTAAACCCGAATAAAGGAGGAGAGTTTACATTTTATCTACTTTAAAAAAAAATCAAAAAAATATATTTTTTGTAAATATATTTCAAAAAATAATTCGTTTTCATTATATAAATATTTTATACTTTATAAAAAGTATTACAATATGATATAAATAAAAAAAATAAAAAATTGTTTTCGTTAAATTATTTGTATTTTTGACACTTTTTATTTTTTTTAAAAGTGTTTTCTATTATTTCATTTATTTGTAAAACTCTTTACAAAAAATAAAAATAAATAAAATTGGACGAGCCCAAGCTCGGCTCAGCCCACGAGCTTGGAGGAGTCACGAGCTCATGGACCGAGCCGAACTCGCCCAAGGCTCGGCTCGCCACGAGTGTGAGCCGAGCTCGTGCGAGTAAGGGCTGAGCCCACCACTAAATACCATGTTAATCTTCGACCACAATTTTATATTCGGGATCAACTATTGGAAAGTTGAAGTTAGGTCTCCATACCTTGTTTTCATACAATTAAAATAATATACAATTTATTATGGATTACAATTAAATAATAATTAAATGAACAAAATTTACATTTTTTAATAAACAATATACAATATACGACTTTAAATTAAATAATCAATATTTACATTTTTGAATAGAACAATATGCAATATTTACGGATCATAATTGAATTCATACAAATCGCAGTTAACTTCTTCCTCCAATTGTCTGTTCAAGATTGGTTGATTCCATCAACCTTATATGCTATATATTCAAAAATTCAATATACTGGATTGCAAACATATCGCCCCTACAATTAAGGCCATGTTTAAATCTCATTAAATTACGTTTCATTACATTCCATTTTTTTCTTTTATTTCTAATCACACAGTCTTCCATAAAATAATATTATACGTAAATCAAAAACTTTTATTTCTTTTTCAACCACTAATTTTTCAAAAAAAATAAATAAAAATCCACCCATTTTCATTTCCAAAAAATGGGGACCAAGCGGGGGCTAAATAATAATGTATTAGTTCGATAACGTATAGCTAAAAACTAAGTGTTCAAATCTAAAAAAATTATAAATATTTATGATTTTGAATGTCTTGCCTTCATCGTGTCCCGCATGATGACTAATTTGTCATGAACAATCACCTTCGCGTATATGCCATCAAAGGAACGATCATAGCTATCGACTCCAGTATATGCTCGAGCTGATTCTGTGTCAGATAGGTATGATTGGAGTCATACATATATATAGTAAAATTAGCGAAGTGATCTCTACGGTAAAGTAGTGATGATTCACAATCACTGGAATGTATATATGCATAAAACCCGCCTATGACTTTTCTCCGACACTCGAGCACATCTTTATGACCCACTTGAGCATATATTTGGGCACCCTGTACTCATTCTCCATAAGTTGGAGTGACCGATGCTCATTGTTAATAGCACGTAGGAACTCGATGATTAATGACCCAGCTCGGAACGTCAGACGATCTTGGATATTTTTTAGCCGGATCAAGTATCAAGTCCAAAATAAAGTTGATGTGCTACATTAAGAAAGACTAATACAAAGAGAGTTATTTAATTTAATAAACAACAAATTTTGTATACATAATAAATAAAAATTGCTATATTATACTTACATTGTTGACGAGCCAAACTACCGAAGTGGTGATGTCATGTAACCACTTATTTGATACCAGTATTGTCATTTGAATTATGGTATAGCTAGCTCTGAAAAAGAACAAGAAAAAAATATTAAAAAAAGCATGGATGAGTTAGTGTACTTTACTAAAATCATAAAATATTTACTCAAAATTCTTCTCCACTTTATCTTGAATGCTTTCCACATGGCGGGGTCTACCTCTCGAAAGAAATTGGGGTACGTCCCATTTACGAATGTCCTCCTCTTTGTCTCGGTCGTGAAGGAAGAAATGACGTATTGCAATGGCAATCTCAGCTTTTTGCCGACCACTTGCTTGGCACGTCAACAACATGCTCTTTACCTTCTTTCATAACGGGCGTCATCTCCTCATTCGCCACCCCTCCGTCCTGTGGACTACCACCACATCAGCCCTAGAGATTGCCACTTCCTTTGTCATCAAGACCACTACCTCCATCCTCTCCTCCTCCACCACCTCTTCCGTCACCATCAAGGACACTACATTCTATTTCATAGATAGCCAAAATGATTCTGACTTCCAAGAAGTAGAGAAAAGAAACAAACCCAGCGTTGGTTGCTAGCTGCCCTATTAGCGCTCGAGCGATCAAACAATGCTATCGCTCACTTGATGCGAGCCTGTGTTCGAGCGGCAAACCACCACTCGCTTGGCGCTAGGCTAGGTGCTCAAGCAGTGGCCTTATTCGAGGAGAAACTCGATTCGATTTTAACCGCGATTTTCAATCCCTTTTCATCTAAAACACTAACCAATATAAATGTACAACCTATAATTCGTCCAAAGTGTATTGAATCATTATATTACCTTAGATATCACATTACTGAAGATTAAGAGCATATTCCTTTGATTCCTTGATTCAACATGATATTCAAAATTTGGTAGCGAGATGGTTGTGAAATGAGCCAAAAAAAAAAAATTCAAAATTTATGGTTTGGTGGGAATCTTATGAAAGGAAGTATAGTATGTTGATTGAAAGTGATGGTGCTTTTGGGGATGTAAATGTTTATGGTAGAGATGGGCGATCGAAAATTGTGGGCACAATGGGAGCATTTTTAGTGGTGATGCAATGTAGCTATGGAAAATGTGGTGGTGCTAATGTCCTTTTTGGAGGTGGTGGTGGAGACTGTGACATTGGTAGTTGTTTTGGTGGTTGAAATAGGTGTCAACACTGGTAGTGAAAATAAGTGGCGGTGTAACAATATTTGTTACATGTGGTAGTGACGGCAACACAGGTTTAACAATAAATGTTACAAGTGGTGAAATCAGAGGTTGTGATGTAATAATGAATGTTGCAAATGGTGAGGTGGGGGATAGGGCTGGGCCGCAGTCCAGTCCCCTCCCCAACCCATTTAATTTATTATAGTACAATTTATTTATTTATTTATTTATTTATTTTTTACATATTAGCTCGGCTTGTAGTCTGGTATTGGACCCGTCCTTATAGACAACATACAATTGTAAATATTGTTTTATTTTTAACAATAATGTGTTATTGTACTGGATGAAAAAGAAAAATTATATTTAAAACAATCCGTTCCAAGCCATGGGTAAGGCTTCTGTTCTCGCTATGTCAAAAGCAAAAGAGAAGCTAGAAATGAAAACAAATGAAGTGCTAAGCACTCATTCTTCTTAGGGCTTCGAAGACTTTTTTGCTAGCCTTTTGCGATAAATGGACTAATCCTAAACGCCTTTTGATTCTGAATGAAAGGATGAAACGCCAATAAATAAAAAAATTATATAGATTGAAGTTAAAAGATAAAAAACCTAATAAAGAGTTATTTTCTCTCTCTAACATCAACCGACAACCACCATTTTAAAAAGATAATGCTATCTATCACCAAAATAAGAATTCTTTAATCTCCAAATCCCTCCATACTAATACCATTTCCTATTTTGAGTGAACTCACTCAAGGGTCATTTGAAGCAAAGAAATGAACATTTCATGCCTACAGTTTCGATCCATGAACACTAAATGTGCACATAATTCTCAATTAAAAATTCCAGTTGCCAATCTCATGTCATGCCACAACAAGAATATTTCAGTACTCATGCACTTTGCACCTATCAACACAAATTAATACTAAATTTCATGATCGATATATACATGGAATGTGTATAAATATAATAATAACACAACTTAGCAAGTAAGTTTGAAAATCCCATAAACCTACAGGAGACACCTTTCAAAATGGTGTACAACACTATCTCTTTATCAGATAAAGATTTAGTTAAGGAAGAACCAGTTTTCCTCTCCTCCTCTAGTAACCCTACCCCTATTGAAACCATTTATTTATCAAATATTGACCAAGCAGTAACTTTTCCTGTGGAAACAGTCTTTTTCTTTGAGGTTTCTCCAGATAAGACCCCTTCAACACTAAACATTTCTGAAATGGTTAAAAAAGCAGTGGAAGAAGTGCTTTTGGTTCCATACTATTTCATGGCTGGTAGGCTTAAGCTTAATGATGAAACTAAGAGACTGGAGCTTTTATGTAATAATGCTGGAGTTATGTTTGTGAGTGCAACATCAAGACTAACACTGAAAGATCTTGGAAATCTTTCCCTACCAAATCCAACTTTTAATCATTTAATTTATCGCCAGGGGTTGTACAAAAGTCTTGATGAAACTGCAATTTTTACTATCCAGGCAATTCCCATTTTATCTTTTCACTGTTGTCTACCATAGTACCATGAGTATATTTAAAATCTTGATATATGATTTTTGGGTGACTTTACAGGTAACCAGGTTTGAATGTGGTGGATTTTCACTGGCGCTTATGACAAATCATGCAATTCTTGATGGAAAATCGGCTAGCGAAATGTTTCATAATCTTGCCTCTTTATGCAGAGGGGAAGGCCTAATATCTAATGTTGTTAACAATGATAGAACATGCCTTAGAGCAAGAACTCCACCTCAGATCGATTATCCTCATAATGAATACATAAAACTTGTGAAAACTTCGTATCTTGCCTCGTCTTTCACCTCACAAAACCGTACATCTCCATCTCCACTGATTTTCTCAGAAAACTATGTTCACAAACTCTTCTCCTTCACTTCACAAATGATCATTTCTCTCAAAGAGAAGGCCATGGTAAAGTGTTCCACATTTGAAGTAATTGTAGCTCACCTTTGGAGGGCAAGAACAAAGGCAGTTTTTGAGAACAAACAATCGGAAGATTCAACTGCTCTTTTTGCAGTGGACATAAGGTCTAAAATATCTCCACCTTTACCAGAAGGGTTTGCTGGAAATGCTGTAATCACAGCCTTTGCCACTGCAAAAGCGCGGGATTTAATCTATAAGCCAGTTTCTTTCGGGGTTAAGAAGGTAAAGGAAGCAAGGGAAGGTGTGACAGATGTTTATATAAAATCAGTAATAGATTGGTTGGAGGTTTACAAAGGAATTCCAGCAACTTGTAATGGGAATTTTTATGTTTCAGCTTGGTGGAAACTGCCATTTGGAGAGCTTGATTTTGGCTTTGGGAAGCCTATTCACGGTGGTCCAATTGTTAGTGGGAATGATGAGTTTGTCCTTCTTCTCTCTAATGGGAAGCATTGTGACATAAATGGAGGGATTGATGTGTGGATGGGGCTTGAAAAACAAAAAATGGAAAGGTTTATGTCTTATATTTTTGAAATATGAAATAATTATAATAGACTAATTAAATATATTGACACTATAATTTTTAACCAGTGCACCACTTCTAATTGATTGAAAGTCTCAACCTTTACTCAATATCAAATTTATGTTCCTAGCTTTTTTTCATCCTATTCTTATTTCAAAATTAATACAAGTTATCTCTAATATTGATAATCTTTGTCCAAAAAATTTGTCTATTAGAAAGAGCCACTTTGTGTGGCACTATTCTTAGGAATGCATGCCCACATTTTTTTTTTTAAAATCCACATCATGCCTCTACTTTCTTTTTTCTTTCCTTTTTTCCCTACTATATAAAAAAGGCAATGAGGAGTACACTGCAATAGTGATTCAATCCCCTTCCAAATTTTCGTTTCCTCTTCGTTTTTTAGATTTTTTTGGGTTTTTTGCTCTTCGTTTTTAATTTTTCCCCCTATTGAGAGCAAAATGATGTCATTTTGCCTAAACTTATGGCAAAATGATATCATTTCTATTCTTTTACTTTCTTATTCATTTGTCTGACACATGCAAACTTTTCTTCGTCCTTCCCAACTCTTTCCTCCCAAAATTTGCTCTCTATTTTCCAATCTCTCATCTGACATACGCAACTTTTTTCTTTCTTCTTCCACTAAGGCTACTCAACCAGGTTCAAAAACAGGAATTTGAATTTGTTGAGCTGGCATACNAAAAAAATTAAGTCATGTTTTACTAATCATAAAATATAGTAAACACATTTTCTATCCAAAATTTATTCTTTTCATTGGAACACAATTTGAACAACATTGAATCACATATGCATATATTAATGAAACCATGATTGTATGACACTTTGTTGTAATCTTTTAGATTTCTCTGTCATGTTCCATGACGCTGCCTAATCTCTAGATGTACATAGAGCAGTGTTGTTATATCTAGCCTAATCCTGCTAGCATCATATTTCTTTAGTATGGATTCTCTATAGTTGTGGAGCATGTATTCGGCGTATATAATTGCGAATACGCTGCAATCGTAGTTGAAGAACAACACAAAATAGTTTATTAGGATTGAAACTTATTTAACTAGTGTATTTTTTGAAATATTGGTCGCAAACTTATCCATTCTTCTGCTGCGGAAGGCTACTATCAATCATCACTCTCAAGTCGATGCAATCAGATTCATGGAACCACAATTTCTTGGAATTCCAGAAAGTGCGCAAAACATGTTTCCATGAGTATACGTCATTGGGCTTCATTTAGATATGTTTTGAGGTTCATCAGAACACCCTTTGTAATGGTAATTGTAATTTTTCCAGAAAACCAACTATCTTATGGTATAATGAAGTTCCACACTTGCATCAAGTGTTTAGATGAAAACAATGTTAAAATAAAATATGGAATGGTACAATAAACAAGGTTACGATGCAAATAATGATAAACAAAATTGTAAATCAAGTGTCAAATGATGGTTTTCAATGGGGTCACATATTGTAAATGTAAATTAAAGCATGTCACAGACATATAAATTCTCAAACAATCACATAAATTAGGTCATAGATATATATAATGGCATACAATCAGGTCACATATTGGATAAGAAAACTAAATCAGGTTACAAATACATATAATGGTATATAATCATGTAAATAAAGTCACAAATGCAGAGAATGGTATGCATTCAGGATGCATTCATGAAGACCATGGCCACAATTGAATTTGCAGATCATATACGAGCTATTGTAGGTCACAAATCATTCATTGATAAAAAATTCAATTTCTATAAAACAACACTTTCAAATGAAACTCCCATCGATTTCTTTTGCTACTAAAATTGAACCAAATAAAGTCCACAAATCTTCAATTCATTTGCAATATTTGTTTCCCATCAATTTTGGATTGCATACATATAACTCAAATGAACAACAAACAGAGCCGGTCCTGTGATTGTTGGGGCCCGAGGCAAAGCCTAAAAATTGGGCCCCCCTCCCGAAATCAACTTAAATGCAATGGATAAAGGATATATACATTTTTCAACTTTTAAGGTGTTTGATAGGTATATTTTCCATTGGAATTCAAGTTCTTTCTTTTCTTGAAATTTGAAATTTTCTATGTTTTTAGGGAAAACCAATTCCCACCTATACTGTAGCATGCATATATATATAAAAAAAAAAATTTCAGGTTTTTTTTTTTTTTTTTTTTTTTTTTTGGGGCAAAGTTAACAAATTCTAAGAATTATTGTAAAAAAAAATATTTTTCTTTAATTAACAATTTCCATGTAAAACAAAGTCAAACGAATATCAAAAGATAAATGATTTTCTTGAATTTATTTATTTATTATTATTATTTTTTTTTTTTGACAATGGAAACAAGTTTCATCCCAATACCAATAAAATCTATCCTTTTAATTGACAATTTTCATGTCAAAGAGAGCCAAACGAGTACCAAAAAATACTTTTATTTCAACATTTTTCACGTGAAAAAATTATACCAATCAAACACAATAATTTACAATTCCAAGAAAAACAATTTCTAGGTAATTCAGTTCCGTGGAATTCGTTTTCAATTCAATTCAATTCCATCTTTACAACCTACGCTTAAACTAATCCTAGCCCAAAACCAACAAAATTTTGGAGCCCAATACTTTTTACCAAACCTATATCACAATCATTCTATTGAATATTTGAATTGAAACTACACGCACCAATTCAACCTTTTGTTGCGTCGCCCTGTGCATTGGTCTCCGTATGGTAATCACACTATTCACCATCCTAAATTTTCTATGAATTGGATACATCTATTTTTGTTCACATACATTCAGTTAGAAATTTCTTTCACTTTTGCTGATTTTCCTTTTTCAATTGTTTGATGTTCTCAATTTTCATTTTCATTTTCATTTTCATTTTTATTTTTTATTTTTTATTTTTTATTATTATTTTTTTTTTAAGGGATGGGGAATCTGGTTTGGCTGTTTGGGGTGGGTAGAAATGACTAGTTTGAGCGAATTTGGGGATGGCCGAATTTAGGGCTGCAAATGTACATAAATTTTCAAATTCTCCATTCCTTAATTTACTTTTAGTTGTGAGGGTTTTATAGTATATGAGTGAACTTTTCCTTTGGCTACTTTTGTTCCAAAGAATATATATATATTTTTTTTCTTTGGCACTCGAGAATGATCATCAAATGAGAAAAGAACTACAAATGAGTTGAGTTCTCATAAGACTTGTTGGGTTTCAAGCTTAGAATTGTGGGATTAGTGGAGTATAATGTAGAGTGAGAACTGTAGAAAATTCCTCATTTCAATAGTTTCAAGAGAACAAGTTGTGTTATTTAGAATGTATATAGAAAAAATTAACAATGTGACCAATTCAAAATCCTGAAAATTTCAATGATTTTCATTATAAAAGGCTAACAATGTAATATAAAAACTACATGACTATCCAAGAACATTGAAGAAGGTGGAATAAACTTCACCACCCTTTAAATCACTTCATTTCATTGTACTCTTTTTAGTATGCGTTCTTTTCATTGGAACACAATCTAAACAACTTGTATGACACTTTGTTGTAATCTTTTAGGTTTCTTTGTCATGTTCCATGATGTTGCCAAATTTGTTTAACTTTTTAATTGTATTACTCTAACACCGTTTACATAAAAACAATTCTTCGACTATTAATCACAACTATTCGGCATGAAACAGAAGCATTATGATTATTATGTCCGACCCTAGATGATTTAAATTGACATGAAATTTAAGATCGATCATATAACGTGATAATAATCTATATGTTCATTTTTGGCAAACAAGTGACTTTTTCAACGACCCAAGAATATTTTTGTTTTGCGTTTTTTGGTGAAGCTATTCCTTTTTGCTACCATGAATTTCATCTACTATTCACAAAAGAATCCCGATAATTTTATTATGTTGACTTTCTTAAGTTTCAGCCCACCTTATTGAAAATCCTCAAACCATCCATGCTTTCCAATGTTCTCACAAATCCTAAAATAGAAAATAAAATCATGAATATCCATGGTGTGATTATCAAGAATAATTTTTTTACTTTGTCCAAGGATATTCCAAAATAATTGTCACATTTTTGCATATTTTTTTACATCTATTGATGAAGTACATAATTAAACAATTATTTGTAAACTATTCTTCAAGTCACATGCATTGAACATAATATTTTTCAATTATTTTATGCGAAATTTGTGACTATAACTTAATGCGTTGTGTAAGTGTGACTCCCACACTAAACATTTGATAGTGAAGAAAGGTGTGTATTTTTATTTTATTTTATTATTATTATTATTTTTTTGTTGTTGTTGTTTATGTTGTTGCATGGGAGCATGCACTCGAAACAAAGTTTAGAGATTTAAAAAATAAGAAAGCATTCATGGAATCTTGAAAAATATTTTTAAAATTGGAATTATATTTAAAGATCAAATGCATACCATATAAGAAGAGCTCGATCTTTTTTAAGATGTATCTTGCTCAAACAATGGTAACTTTACCTAAATAGAAAAGAACAATGAACAAATAATTGCTAGTATTTGGCCCGGCACAATCTTTAAGATCAATGTTTTCAAAATCAAACGGGGCATTGACCCCAAAAATTAAGAGGGTCAAGAGTTGAAGAATCGAGTTGAGGTTAAGCCGGATCAATCTGAAAATTAATTTATTTAAATCTTATAAAGATATGTATTATGAAAAAATAAATTAAGGCTAATTATATTACCACTAAAAATTTTAATTACTACATCACATTATAAGTACACCACAATTAAAATATATTTTTAATAAATACACCACAATAAATTTACAATTATACTCATAATTCAATAAAAAAAATTGAAAAAGAACATAATACAATATTGTGGTGTACTTATCATCAATGCTAATCCTCATTTTCTCAAGCTTTTCCCTCATTTATTTCACAGCAATTGAAAACAGAAGATCGTTGAAGAACACCATGCCATAATAAATTAAATGTTTGTCACAAATAATTAATATGTCTGAAAGGGTCCTTTGAAGTTGTCAATAATTTGTTTGTGTTATCATTTATATTCGAAATATGAATTTCCAATGTATTCGCAATTTTATTTTTTAATCTTGGAAGTCTATTTTGGGAACATTTTTAAGTGGAAATTTAAAATTTTTATTGATAACAACCTTATAATTTCATGGATAAAAAGGTTTTAATAATTCATCGAACACATTAAACCCAACTTGAGGAAGCATTTATGATATATTTTTGATAAACTGGATATGTTTCAGAATTGAATTAATAGACATAAATTTAATATTCGATTTATTTATACTCGGTTAGTAATAAAGTATTGCATATAATCGTATATATTGAAGTTGTCATCGTTTTCCTAACATTTTGGACTAATAAAATTGAATAATGATATGTTATAAAAAAAATTAAATTTATTACGATCCTGTAAAAAATACAATATGACAATAAAAACTTTTTGTTGATTAAGAACAACTTTCAAAAATTCATATACCTCATAAACAAAAATCCACGAAGACTAACACACCTACATAGACTCAAATACATTTATGGTTTACCTATATACATGTAATTTATGGTGAGCATATATACGCGTAAATTCATAAACCCATTTAACAATTAAAAATCATAATCATACATGCTTGTTTTAAAATCATAACAAATCTGTTTAACTTAACAAAAAAAATGCAAAAAATACAAAAAAAAATATTCTTACTTTTCAAAATTGAAAAAATAAATTCATTTACAATAAGGGAAAAAAATTATCTTGTCGCCATGGAAAAAGGCAAAAGCTTCCGGAAAAACTATGAATAATGAAATGTTGAGGAAAAAGAAAGAAAGAAATTAGGCTTTATATTTTTGGTATAACAATAATTTATTTAATTAAAAAGTATATTAGAATTCTAATTATGTAATTTTACTTAAAGATATTTTAATAAATAAGAAAATTAGGATGCACTTAATAAAATTTGTATTGGTAATATAACTACCCATGAATTAATATATCAATATAAACTTTTAAAAAAAATTAACATTAAGTTGAATTTTTTAAAGTTTTTAATAGTTGTAAATTATATTTTAATAATTATTTCTTCACATATAACATAAAAAGTTAAATGGGCCAAAAGAAGATTATAAACTTGCATAAAAGATAGAAAGGCCCAACAATGTTATAAACTAGAAATCATTGCGAAAGGCAAAACGACTGTCGCTTTTCTTTCTATTTTTCGTATGCAGCGGCTTCCCTCTCATCTTTTCCGGCATCTTCTTCCCTCTCATTTTCCCGGTGGCTTGATTTGATCGAGGATTTTTCACATCACTTGCCCAAGTCAGAGAAGCGTTTATTGACGTATCTTTTCTGTATGTTCTTTTTCTCTTTATTTTTATTTTTTTCCTTTGCAAGCTGGACGGAAAAGTCGGCAAAACCGTGTCCGGTTCACGGATCATTTTACTGGTTTTTGTATCTCCGGTTACAAGTTGAAATGCAGACCACAATTTATATGTTAGCCCCAATTAAAAGCCTATTAGTCCATCGCTATTAAAACCATAAATCTCTCCCACTCTCCTTCAATTTGTATTGGCGTAATTGTAAATGAATGCGATTTATCACTTTTTAATTTCTATTTTTTTAACATTTCTTTGTTGAAATGAATCTATATCATATAAAATTATTCTAATATTTGTTCATTATTTATTAACAGTTTCGCAAAGATGATGACACGAATTCGGTAAGTTTTTTTCTTTTTTGTTCTTTAGTTCTCTAATACGCTCGAATGGATTTTCCATTGTTGAGGAACGATTAATTATTTTATTTTTTAAATTCCACGAACTGAAAAGTTCTGAGAAGTCTCCAAAGCACTTCCACTTTACAATTGAAGAACGATCTAACCAGCAGACTTTACTACTAACTAATAAATACGAAGATGAAATCTTGAATGTTGAAGTTCACGTGCCTGATGTGACACGATTCGTCCCGACTTAACCTAATTGACTCGACACGTGTCGTGCGCCGGTAGTAGATGTCAGCTAAATGTCGGACCCATCACCAAGGCAAACTTGACCTATTTTGATTATGCTAATTTCTATGAAAATTTTGACAGAATTTCCCCTGTAACATGGACAAAATCAACCTGAAAAATCATCAAAATCTCAAATAGACATTTAAACCAAAAGTTTTGAAAACCACCACTTCCTCTAATACCACCACAACTATTACAAAATATAACAAAATTCGACTGAGTACTTCTACAACATCATCCTGTCAACACACAAGTATTACATCACTTACAAACCCTTCTACGAATATGTTTGTCACCCAAAATTAGACAATTACTTAATAAACATAAGTTCTCCAACTATTCATTACATACTTATGAAACGGTCTCTTTTACTTCAGCAGGCTTTTTCAAATATCTCAAAATCGACCTTCTCCTAATAGGAAAACATGGTAAAAAGATATGAGTTTATAACTCAGTGAGTGGATAGTTGAAAATAAATAAACTTTTCCATTTATGCTATTTTCTGAAAATTCTTGCACTATTTAACGTTAAGAACTTATGAAAAATAGTAACACTTTTAAAAACTAAACATGATCATATCATAATTTCTTGGACATAATTCTAGAAATGCAACTGTATAACATAATGACTATAAATACTCTGATATCCATGAAAAATTATGAAATATTGCTACCTTAATACTATAAGCTGAAAGCTTTATTCTGAAAACTGAATTAACCAAATTCCATTATCTGAAATCTGATAATAGAATAAATACTGAAAAATCACACCAAAAAGAGTACCCAATGAATAGCCTTACTCATGTACAGAGTAATCTCGATGTACAAGGCAAAACCATTCAAATACGATAATCTGGTCATATGTACGCAGAGCTGCCCCAAAGGCTAATCACCCTAGTACACGGCCCAAAGCCTATGTGTGTATGCGAGTGGGTCCCAAAGACCTCTGATAATCTGGTCATACATTATGGAAACACATTCACAATAGTACAGAGCGGGTAAAATCACTGTAACTAGTCATACACTGTGGAAACACATTCACATCAGTGCATACTAGGATAAAATCACCTGGGTACTTTCTGATGGTTTTAAAATAACTTTAGCTATACTGAAACATTTATATTCATATAACATGCTAGTCAAATGATTTAATTGAACTGAATTTAACTTTAAAAGTAATTGTTAATAAAATCCAATTTATTCTAAAAATCATGCTATGAAGTCAACTTTATACAATAAATAACTTTAAAATTTAATAAAGACTTTTTTCTGAAAAATAAATTTTATCCACTCACAAGGTATGAGCTACAAGCTAGATAGGTTGATAGACGTTTCCAATCGCCTCGTTACCTCCTGAAATACGATAATGATAACCAATTTATCCACTATCGAATCGAGAAACCTTAAAATCTAATAATAGAACATAATTTAAATGCTCTTGGTACTTAAATAAGTTCTCAAATTTTCTTTTATTAATTGGAGCTAATTACACCTTATAATTCCTTGGTTAATCACTAATTTATCAACATAACCATCATTTCAAATTTAAAACTAATTTTACTCTTCAATCTACTGAAACTAGTAACCACAATTCCACCCACATAATATACATTTTGTTCCATAAAATCAATTCTCAAGTGAAATATTTCATTTACATAATCACTTCACAATTTATTAATTAAAATCCCCAAAATCGGATTCTAGGGTTTTTCCAAAAATTTGACATCTCCATACCTTGCTGAAAATTTGAAATGAATAAATCCCCACACTTGAGCTCCAATTCGTGCAAATATCCCTAAAATTCGACATATTATTCAACAAGTTAAAACCCTAAAAATTTTAACATAATTCATACTTTATCACCTAAAACAAATGGAAAATTTCAACCCAACTTGAAGATATTAACCTTACCTCCTTTCCTCTTCTTTTCCTTTTTCTTTTCCTTTTTCCCTTTTTCTTTTCCTCTTTTTCTCCTTCTTTCTCGGACTCTGCTTCCCGTATGTTACTTTGTGTGTGTGTGAAATAGGGTGAAATGAGAGAAAATGGGTCAAAGGTTTGAATTAATTGGTCCACTAACCCATAATTGCAAACTACGTCCTTAACTTCACTTTTTAGTCATATTTAATCCTTTAACTTCCAAAAGTATATATATATATTCCAAACTTTTAAATATATCCAATTCAACCTTTATATTTTGACAATTGTAAAATAACCCAAATAAAATATTTAATTTCATTTTAGTCCTTGATTGACTTTGACCTTGACTAGTCAATATTTGAATTTTTGATTATAAAAATTGGATTGTAACATGATGTCTCTTTTTTTATATGAGGATGATGCTGAAGATGAAAAGGTACGAATCTCACGTCTTGCACCGTTGCTATTCCTAAATATATATGACCACCATGAAGAATCTAAAAAAAAATAATAATTGAAAAATTGAACCTGCTTTTTCTTTGAAGTGGACTCATCGTGTGGTGTATGCACATCAAAGTGCTACCTGCGGCAGTAATGAAAAAGTGATGACAGAAACAGCGGGTACAGCTTTTTAGGCTGTTGAGATTTTTCAGCAAAACTCCGTTTGAATTTATTAAGCTCAACCATCAAACGGAGTTTTGCTGAAAAATGAGTATTTTGTGATTGAATTTGCATTTGAATAATAGAATAAATTCTTTAGTAGCAAATGATTATTTAAATTATAATATGGAAGGTGTAATATAGCTTTTTCTCGGTGTTTGTTTGGTAGGGATTTTGATAATTGATTTTTTGAGTCGAAAAGACAAGCTTGAAACTATTTTTGTTGAAATTCTTAATGCTGGTGACGTTAGTGCTAAGTCGAGCAATGATAAGAAAAAGGAGAACCTATCCGTTGTCTTTAGTCTCTCAAAAAGGGGATTGTTTTTATCATTGTATTGTACTATGTATCCCAACAAGATTTCTCTTGACAGTTGGCGTGTTGAAGAAAATAGTGATCGTCATTTTAGAATTAGTTATCGAGGCTCATGTCCACATAGTCAAAGCTTCTGTAGGATATTTGTTGATTCTAATCATAAGCAACGGCGACGACGACAAGTTTTCATTTCTTAACTTGTAGCGGTATTATTCAGGACGAGAAAGGGTTGTAGAGTACCAAAGCTATAAATTCAAGCTAAATTTCCAATATAATAATTCAAATCATTCACACCATTGGCAAGTTCGTCAGAAAAGAATAATTAATTGTCACATAATTTTTCTCACCCATTTTCTTGCTTTGTTCTAAAACTCTCATCAGGGAGTATCAATTCAAAGAAAATTTTTGACTTTCCAAGTTTTCAATATATATACACACACACACACATAGGAGGAACAACTTTTACCATTCATTTTATAAAAACCAATCAACTTGTAAATAAAATAATAAACAATAAATAGCATCATAAATATGATTTTGATGGTTATGGGCCTGTTTGGCAGCCATTTTCTTCAAAATGCATTTTTCTCTCTCTTCTTTTCAACCACACATTCTTTATTAAAATAATATTATACATAAATAAAAAAAATTCCTTATTTTTCAACCACACATTTCACATCAATTTACTATTCTAAAATGCATTTTTACATAAAAATGTCTATCAAACATCCCCTATATATACTAGTTCAAAACTTGTACACGTGTCATACTATTTTTCACATTTATTAGAAAAAAAAAGTTTCAAACTTAAAAACAGGAATCAAATCAGTGAATGTCAAATGATAAGTAATAATTGTACATTAATGATTATCTAAGGGTGAATGTCACAAGTTAAAATTGAACCCATTGCATGAATTATTTAAAATATTTACATTATAGACAAAGAAATTTTCTGTAATTATGTATTTGATTACTAAAAGATTTAAAGATTGAAATTACGGATTTAAAACCTTTATCATTCATATAAACCATTTAATAGAAAAAGTTTCAAAATTAAAAACAAAAAAACAAATCAAAATAAGTATCAAATGTTAAATAATGATAGTATATTAATGATTTAAGGACAAATACTATACGATAATCAAAATAACAATACCTGAATAGTGTTATTAATGTAAAAATAACAACTTAATACATGAATTAGTACTATTAATGTAAATTATTAAAAGGTGAGGATTTATTGGACATAAAGTTAAATATATAAGGATAACATCGATATTCAAAACTATAATATATCTTAATGAGCAAGCATGCAATGCTAATTACCTAATTGGTGGCAGTAAATGCAATAAATTTGATCATATAACTTGTAATTTGTTTCATGATTGAAATTGTTGTATTATATCTATTAACAACTTCAAAATTACAATACAAAAATTAATTTATACTTATCCAATGTAGAAAGTTATAAATTTACAATTTGCTCCAATTTTCAAGAACCTGTCATATTCAATCATAATGCCAATAATCAGAATTTCACAATTCAATTTAATGGCTGCAAAATCTTGTGCAATGTCTGCCAATAAATTCAAACAGACAATATTTTCTTATTAACATAAAAGAAAAACTAAATTTTCAGTTTTCTTATCAAAAAATAATGGATGCATCCATTCGTAAATATTGAATTGGTTTCAATCAAGATGGCCTCAACTTCTCAAGTACTTTGCAACTATTAAATATCATTACAAAGACTAGGCATTCACTGATTGAGCTCCTTAAATTCAATAAGCTACAAACAGGAGCACCAGAATTTGTAGTGAAGAATGGGGAATTGTAGGCACTTGATGGACGGTACTGAATCAAAATAATAAAGTAATAAAATCGCCATAGATAAAAATAGAAAAATACAGTAATTTTAAATCATTTCAGAGTCAGACCAACAACCAAACTTCGAATGATCCACCAATAATGTAAGCGAGGCTTGTGATTTACTGAAAAGACAAGAAATAAATATTACAACATGTCATTTTAAATCATTTCTTACTTCGATATATACAGCTTAAAAAAAGAGTTAGCATGACATTCACGGAGAATTTATTCCTCCAAACAAATCGTATCCACTAGGCAAAGCAATTGCTATGAATCTAAAGGAATGTCCATGTGTAAAAGTTACATACCAACAAAGTTATCAATGGAGGGAGTTAGAACTGGAGCTGGAGAGGTATAAGGCTCACCAGGAACTGAAACATAATAGATAAACCAAAAACAAAAATACATCACAGCCTCGTTCAAATCTTAAGTTACGTAGATAGATTACAGTGCAAAGTGCCTAGTAAAATTGAAGGTTTTTTTACTATAATGACATCCAATTTTGGTATCATGTACTCTCAAGTGGTTGGTTCCAAATAACATATTATTACATCGTTGATCAGGATAATAGGAGGTTCATTGATAAACTACCCTATATTAGCCTACATATATTTGTAACAGAGGTGATTCTTTCTATTTGATTGGGAACCAATAGGACACAATTCGGGCAACAAAATTGTATTAGTCGATTTCAAAAGAGAAAATGTCACAAATACTTGCTCCAATTGATCGTTTCCATTTGTGCCAACAATTAAACAACGTAAACTACTTAACCAAACTCTAAACCCAAACGGTAATATTCCCTAAAATCTTGTTTCAAAAACAGGAACACAAGTTCCTTGCACCAACCAAAACCTTTGTAAACCATTTTGAGCAACACACTAATTAATCATTCACAATAACTTTCCACTTCACCAAATTCAAAAAATGGTTTATGTGAATTTAATTGAGTAAATAAATACAAATTTATTGGCAATGGAGAAAACCATTAAATCAACTTCATATTCGCAAAATAACTCAACCACCAATCACAATAATAATAATAAATAAATAAAGCCAAAGCATTAGTGGAAGAAATAATTACCTGAAAATGGGGTGGCAGAAAAAG